TTTTATCCTTTACTTTTTATGAGAAATAATGACTTATTTACGAAGCGATTGTAGGCAATACAGCATTAATTCTTATCCAATTAAGTACCTTAAATACATTGTGCATTTAATATAGATCAATATGGCCCTTTACAGCATGTAATTTAAATGAATATTTTCGAAGATATTACAGATTTAAAATGCAGGGACATAGCGGTTGCGGCGGTACCGGCCGGGAGGCCGGTTTGTATTGTCTAATGACAAAAAAACTGTGAATGTTGTATATAAAGACATTCTGTAGTATATTTAGTATGTTCAGGGGGTATCTTTTGAAGATTTCCCCTTCTCGATAATAATCTAAACAAAACAAAAATATACATATTTAGTATTAGCATTGCACCCGTGCGAAGCTGGGGCGGGTCGCTAGTACTATTATATAGGGTTAAATTATGAACCTTTACCTATACTTTCTTTCAGAGGCATTAATCCAATTATTTTATCGTTTAAAAATGTACCTAACTAAATATTAGTTGAAAATATAACGGGGGAGAGTCTGTTAAGAGTTCTTCGACAATAAATTAAAGTTCCATAGTATAACAGTGATTCCCTGGGCGACAAAAGTTAGTTTTAACAAAAAAATATGCAGAAACACAAAAAATTAACATACGGATATTCTACGTATATGCACTCATTCAAAGGGTGACATCATTTTTTGAAAAATACAACATGGCATATAGGAAAACTAGTAGAAATGCCTTCAGGGATCTTTTCATATAAATATGAATAATAAAGTTATACTTTGTTTAAAAAATTAAAAGTTTAAAAGTTCGGTTAGTTTAGGACAGATTTTAATGAAGCAGGAGATACTTTCAACGCGTTCACCACCTTGTATATTTCGGTCATGTAACAAAAAAAAAATAAAATTTCGGTGAAAGAAACTGAAAAGTGCAACCTTAGAGTAATAACTTACATTTTCTCAGTTTTTTATTTTATTTTATTATTATTTTCTTTAAACAATATGTAAAATCGTTAAGTAATAATTATTATTTAAACATAAGTAATTATTACTCCAAAATCCAAAGTTCATTTAATTGCGATTAGTACAGTAATAAATTGCTATTTATGATAGCATTTAACAACATATGCCAAACAAACATATTAAACACCATAGAAAAAATGTTAGTTTTAATATTATTGCAACAAACCAAATGCTAAATTGTATTCTTATTAAGATTACGGTGTTTGTTGAGTAGGTTGTAAAGTGCATTGTGTACTTTTTATGACACAACTAATAAGACAGTAATAAAACCGTAATCAAATCATAAATGTGTTGTAATATCATTAATAATTTAAAATACAATATCAATCGTAAATAAAATATAACAACCACTATTAATTGGTATTGAAAAATTTTTAATTTATGAGGTAGTAAGGGTAGTAAGTATGTAATTGAAAATACTGTTGATTCGGAATAGTGTAATTTGCTTTTGCGGTCCTGTGGGGCAATTGAATTCTGGATCCCGTTCAAATTATCTTTAGGCGCAGATAACGATTTCGATCTTATTTGATCATCAGCTAAAATAAATCGATTAAAAAAGAAAAAAATTGGTTAGTATTTTTTTGAACATTAAAACCTAATTTTATTGAACTATTTATAGTATTAGTTAGTATCAATAGATACACCAGGTATCTGTAGATAGAGACATACAGTAAAAGTTCCTGTATTCGCGGCTAAAAATTTCATTATTCGCGGATGCAATCGGTAAACAGAAAAGGATTCGGTGTCATTTATTAAGGGGATTGACCGCAATAGACCGCTCGTGTCTACTGTGAATTTTTCCGAAAATATGGGTTTCTATTCTAAACATTGTGATTTAACGCTGCGAGATAAATATCTGATTTTTTGTATGGTAACAGACAAAGATTTACACTAACTGGGCACGTTTTTAGTTTTCAATGATATGGTCATTAATAGCTTTTACAAGTGCTCAAATTGATGCTTCTTGTAGGACACGTATTTTCAATAGAAATTAAGAAATTAAAAAATGACCTTCGACAGGCTTTAGAACAAAGCTTTATCTATCATACTACAAAATATCAAACCTCTGTTCCAAACATTAAACTCATGATATCTAGAACCGATAAGCATGTTTTTACTATACGCCGCGTGTACTACTGAATCGAAACCGAGTGGACTAATTTCAAAATTCAAAACAAGAAAAAATCACTAAATTTCTTAAACTCTTGCCTAAAGCTGATTATAACGATTAATTTTAATTGCAAATTTATCAATACATTGATTTTATTTTGATACATATTGGTTTTATTTTGGAACCTTAGAACGTATCCCCTATGATTCCATACTAATTACCATTCCATATCCACAGTTTCTGTATTCGCGGCATATTTATGGAACGTATACCCCGCGAATAAAGAGCTTGTACTGTACTCTCGTTTCAGTGCCAATTTTTAATAGAGGCTTCGTTAAAACTGTATCCTGTACGTAGAAGTAGTTATTTACTATTTTTTGTGTAAAAGTAACTTTTTTTCCACAATAACCTCCGAAATAATTAATTATATGAGATACATCTACAAAACTTTATTTACGATTAGTGAAACTGTTAAAAACTAACAATGAAACAAAATAAACTATGGATATTAAAAATCACATAAAAAATGAAGGTGCTTTTCTATTCCTTGAGAAAAATAGCGAAACTTTTTTATTTTTCATCTCATTTTTAATGTCTAACGTTTATTTTGTTTATAGGTAATGTTTTAACACCTCCACTAACAATAAATAAAATTTTGAAGATGTGTTTTCTACAATCACTAGTGTCCGACCGAAAGTTCGGTTTCGGTTTCGGTCGAGTTTCGGCAAAAAACGAGTTTCGGTTTAGGCAGCAAACCTGCCGAAACTACCACCGAAACCGAAACTGCGTTCGGGAGTTCTCGCGCTCTGCTCGGTCATGTTCGGCGCGTTAAAGTCCACCCAAGCTGACCCAAGCGAAGTGTACTATACTTACTCAAATAAACATCCTATTTTAAGTATTTTTAAGGCGCAATTAAGAGCTGTGTGATTTAAAGATAAAAAAATAAAACTGACTGATTATAATAACGTTTTCTTTATTTTTCTCTCAAAACATGATCCTTATATAAGGAAGTTTCGGTTTCGGTTTCGGCCGAAACTTAGACCGTTGCCGAAATTCGGTTTTGGTTTCGGTCGTAAAAACCAGTTTCGGTAGGACACTAACAATCACTTTTTTTTTCTGAAATCTAGTTTTTTTTTGATAGTGTAACTCCCATTAACCGTACAGCAAATATACGGAACAGTTTTCTATGCCGATTGTGAATACCTAGATGTATTTACAATTAGATAATTCTTTTTATAAAAGTGACCTTCGACATTAATTGGTCCATGACAATATTTTCAACGCAGTTTGTTACGTATTTCTCACTTATGCATGCATAATATGACCTCAAATTTTCAACGATTGGTTACTTTCTCCAACAACTGTAACCCACAATAAGTATTACTCAAAAAAAAAAACGCTCGATATACGATAACAAAATGAAAAAAAACATTATCTCAATTAATAATAATACGAAAGTTAGGATTCGGAGAAACGTCTTAATTAAAGGGTATAAGTAAAATATCTGAATCTGATAGGCAGCGTAAAACCATGTCGATTACGATCTCGATCTCTTTAGATCTCAACAGCGCACCATAATAGCCAATATCGATAAATTACTAACCGAACTGAAAAAGCCCCTAAAAAGCGAGTTTATATAATATCCAAATAGAGACAGTGTATCGCCATCTGACAGATATTTGCTACAACTAATGTATTTCGTTCGTTCAATAAATTTCTGACCAAGAACTTAAACATTCTTAGTAAACCACATATTAATTTGTAAACAATACTAAAGGACACATTTACCTATGGTAAGAAATAAAAAATGCAAAGAAATATAAATAATGTTAAGAATTAATTAGTTAACAAATATACAAGGAAAAACCAATTACGTGTGACGTATTAAAACTAAATTTTAAGCTATTCGTAAAGCATATTTACTTTTACATACAAGTAGTGCTCATTTGGGACACACTGTATATAAATACTACCAATGAGACATAAATGGAAAAAATACCTCGATTTCAGTGCCTTTTACAATACAATTTTAAATTAGGATTCTTCTCAAACTTTACGCAAATACAAAAATTATAATTAAGAAAAGGCAAATCGACCAAGCACATTATGTAATCAAACAGATATAGAGGAAAAAAGAGTAGTAAAAACATACTTCGTATCAATTTCATGACTCATGCGGTAATTACTAGTTCCTAACGAGCATCGCATCTAATAATGCTAGTTTTTTAAGGCTCGGAAGTATCGTCTGCCCAATTAAATTACTCTATATTAGACATTAGAACGAATGCATCGACACAAATAGGAACATTATTAATTAGAAATTTTTTATTATAGCATTTATAATAATGAACATATGTCACATACATACGATAAGGGATTGTAAGTAAATTTGATAAAGTTTTTACAATAACATAATAATCTACCTACACAAAAATTGATAATTTAAAGACTGTTATGTTTATGTAAAAACAAAAAGAAAGGATAGTATCGATCCATACACTTTATGTTTACTAAACCTGTGACCTACTACATTATGATATGATATGATATGATATGATATTCTTGACCCACAAGAAACTAATTGATTAATATACTGTTTTGTGCCTTATAAAAATATAAATATTTATTTCATAACAAATACTAAGCCTGTCAAAAACATATGTATGTTATCATTATGACAAACGTCTCATTTTTTAACAAACATAAAAACAGTTTTATGAATGAACCACCTACTCATTCATACGTTAATAAAAGCGGCATTTAAAAAACAAAAATGATGAATCAGAACGATTTGTTTTGTAAAAGAGGAAGAACGTAGTAACAATTACAAATAGAGTTAAAAAAGGGGTTGACATTTGATTTTTTTTTTACCTTTTCCAATTCTTTTTCTATTTCACCAGCGCGAATAACGAGGGGCCCTCGGACCGCATATTCCATAACTTTTATATTCGGGTTTAGTGTCTCGAAGCTCAGGGCTTCGGCTTTCGTGGACGCCTCTGTCATGGCACTGGCTGAACTGCATAAAAAACGGAAATTCTCGATACGCTGTTTCTCCAGACCGAAGCACAGACCCAAGCGGCGCAAACTATTGTACCCATTATTAGAGTTTCGATTAATTAATGGTGATAGTAAACGCGTACTCGACATAATTATCTATCCGATAAAGTAAATTAAAACTGATAAGAATGCGTAGAGAGCACTCAAGGCAGTAACCAGGTGAGAACTGCACTTAAGTTGATTATCGGATGCAATTGCAGGAAGTATCGGTGCAATGAATTGAAATCGTTAAATATAACACCCTGGCAATTTTACAAGTACATCGTAAACATAACCTCTAGCACTGATTGTGAGCCAATTTTCACAACGAATTTAGACACTAAAATAATGAGAGTCAATTAAATAATAACTAAAATTTTCACCCGTCTAGTAAAATTACGAAATACATCAGTGATAAGAAATGGACTTCATGCTTGAGTGATTATTGATTAGAATTAAATTAGTTTTTTGACTGAAACATTAAATAAGAAATGTAAATAGTTTATATTAAACAATTTATTTAAACTATTTCAGTGGAACACACAGTAAATAACACTTCAATTTAAATTTTAAAAGTTTTGACCAACGGAAGCTAATACAAAGTTACACTAATTTGATTAGATGAGAAAATAATCTATCTACAATAATAAAACATACATTGCAGATTGCCGCTGTATCTTATCATTTAAGTTGGAACCGATTTATTTCATTTTTTCAAATAAAATTCTTTCGTGATTAATTAATATTATAGATTCTGCAATATTTATGCTGGTTATGTAGTAAAACTAAATTTCATATATTGATTTTATAGTGCGTGCTTATGTAACCTACGTTTGTTTATTATTAGTTTGAAATTCGTATGTTGCTACAGAGATACTACCAAGGATAATAAGAAGAAAATTGAAACGTATCTATGATTGAAACATAACCTCTCCATAATTTTGAGCACTTAACCTATATATTAACCTACGACTCTTGCCTATACCCACGACAAACTATTTGTATTAGACAGGGCTAGAATTGAAAATTGTTAGACCTTTTTAATTGGTGAACTTACAAGAAAATAGATTTATAGTTGTATTGTATTCGGTTACCACATCCACATAATATTACAATGGATTCGAAACACAATTTTGATGAACTTCAAGGGGGAAGTAACTTTCTACCCCGTACGCTGAGTATTATGAAATTTACGGCAGCGAGAATAGAAGAAATAAAATCAATGAGAGAAGCTTTGAAGTTATCATCATCAACAAAATTAGCCTTTCAAACTCTACCAAAGCATATGAGACGTAGAATAATGTCTCATAATCCTAAGAGGGTTCCTAGAGAAATGAGAACAAGGCATGTAAATCAAATGTCTAAATCAGGTTTATCTGCAACACCTAAAAAAATAACTCGTAAACACCGGAGAAGGCCTAGGAATTTGCAGGATGAATATATGCGACGTCAACGAAAGGTAGTTTTATTAAATTGCCTTTATTTTCTAAGAAGTGTAGTGTAAATTTATACATAATTTTTTATTTAGATATCATGGTTAGAAACACATATTTGGCATGCAAAACGATTTCACATGGTAAATCGATGGGGTTACAGATTACCAGAACAGCCATGTGATAAAGTATTCAGGGCTTGCTATAGAGCAATTGCCCACCATTGTCTATTACAAGATATTTCTTATATTAGCTGTGTGTCTATAACGGGTCCGTTGGAAATACTTTTAGAAAATTTTAAAAATATTTGTGATAGTAGCAGTGGTGTCACTTTTGCAGCAAAGGCATTTATTAGAGGAACTCGCGAAGGTCAAACTACATTATTCTTTAACAATTCCAACCCCAAGAGAGCAATAGGTACCGTAAATTTTATGTGGAATCCAATTACTGATTCTGATTCAGAAGAAAAACGTACCATTTGGATTTGGATTCATGCTGCTTTTTATAATGATGCCTTAAATACATTAATTGAATGCTTTTCACTAAACACATTGTGCACAAATAATCAATCAAAAATTTATAAAAATGAAAACAGCAAAATTTTTTTAGAAGAGTTAAAATTTGACCTAAGTAGATTTCGATTAACTGGGCCCCTTTCAACGGCGATTTTACAAAAAATTCTAAAACTAGCTCATTTATCAATCAGTACAGACATTGAGTGGGACGAAAATTTTTTGGAGAACCCTGATTTCGAAGAAAGCGTCGCTAAAACTTCTAATTCTTCAAATAGTGAAATTACAAGGCATTTGAAAAATACATTAATAGAAAATTCGAAATGGTTTAAACAATTATTAGACAATTTCAAATCTAAAAAAATTTTAAATGAGCAAGAAACCTATTGGAAAACATTGGAAGGTGCAACATCACCTGATCAAGTCTCTCCACATGTTATCTTATCTTTAATTGCAACTGATCCAAGGTACAGCTATCCTAAAAAGAGAGAAAAGGCTTTACCAATTGGTGAATCTAATTCGAATATTAAGTATGAGATTCCTGAAAATGTTAATAAGTCTTGGCTTTGGAATAAAGACATAAGAAATCAAGTTTTTAATTCTAAGCTTCCGACAAAGATTATTAATGACTTAAGAAGTGATTTGTTGGTACCAGGCTCTGATTTGCATCATTGTGGAGCACCTATTCCTGTATTATTGGTCCAACAACCTGGATGTACTAATGAGTATCATGGTATATTTTAAAATATAAAGAAATATGTGTAATAAGCACAAAACGTTTTAGGTTTCGGCAGTGGTTGGGACTTGATTGTACCTTCAGGTTGGGGTCAACCGTTTTGGGTCGCGTTAATAATGAGGGGCGCAAGATCAGGAGGTCTAAGGGAATTTAATTCTTTGCTGTTTGAATGTGAAAGACAACAATTTTTACCTCCAGACACCAAAGCCGGTGCTGAGGAAGAAAAAAGGCTATCAGATTTGCAAAGGCGAAAGTATTTTGCGCGACCCCCTAATAAAAGACCCAATTACCGTAAATTATCTATTACAAATCCATTTGGTTTCCAATGGAAAGATATTGTGCAAAATTGGTCTTCAAATGAAATAAATGATTTTTATGTGATAAGGAGTAAAAAAATGTTAGAAGTTTTACAAGTAATGTAATATATTTTCAGTTAATGCAAAGCTAATTATAATTTACGTTTTAGAATTCCCTGAAACATAAAAGATTTAACGATTGTATTGATATTAATTTAAATTGTTTGGTACCAGTAAGAATCAAAATGTTAGACAAAGGTGCACCAAAAATATTTGCAGTAATTTGCTTACCTCATTCTAATGATAATTGTAAGAAAATGACTCTTATGGAGCCTTTAAAAGAAGATCTTAATGAACAGAAACGAAAAGATTTAAGAAGTTCTCACAAAATGGATTTAAAAAAGAGAAGTAAAGAAAGAAAGAAACTTAAGAAGGTGGTACGTTAGGATCAGTAAAATAATGTACAAATTGAATAGTTTTTCTTATTTTTAGAAACGAAATTCTGACAGTGAAAAATTAGAGAGTTATAGAAATGAAATTGAAAAACTGTGGTTGCCTGATTCTACAAAAAACGTTAGGTTTTCTTCCTCTAGAGAAGTAATTGGCTTTGTAACTAAAGCTCAATTTAGTTTTACTCGTGCTAAAAATTGTGCAAATGGTTACATTGCTTTAGGAGCTTTTCAGAGTCTCGTTTGCTCTAGTGCTAAAGTTTTAGTAAGAAATGTAAACAGTTTACAATATCGATTTGGAATAGTTAATGTTATTGTATAAGAAAATGATTAATAAATTGAATTTTCAGTCAATTAAATTATTGTCAGGTTTTTAAAACAAACTGTCCATAACTATAGTACTTTATGGTTTAATTTAAAGGAGAAAATAAGCACTTATCAAATTCCTTAAAAATGTATTAATTCATTAAACTTATGACTTGAAATCTTACAAACACAAATTAAACATAATGAAGAAGAATTTCTAGGGTTGTTACTTTTATACAATGTACATCATCCAAAACATTCTTCCTTACATGACGTAAGTGCTTTTGGTTGGCTGTTCGTCTTCCTGTAGACCGGCTGCTTTTTTCACATATTGGGGGTTCACCTGAATTTCTTCATCCATTTGTAGTATTTGTTTATCAAGTTCCATACACGCCTGTAATTGAGTTTCAAGACTTTGTAGCACCTCTGGTCCACTGTATTTCTCTGGTTCATCTCTAAATATTACCATTCCATCTTTTTGATTAATTGTCGCGTAAATTTGTTCGTCTTCGATCTAAAATGGTAAAAAAGAATCATTTTAAAATATGAAAAATAAATTTGATTTCCAAAGTTGTGTCAAATATTAATTTGTAGAATTACCATATGTAAGATATATTTTTCGGCGTCAGCGGGACCAGGTAATCCAACCCGACTAGCCACATCTGATAAACTCAAAGTTAGGAAGGTTTTTGTCAGTCGTTGTATATTTTTCTTGTATAAAACTGACGAAATCTGTTTAACTAAACCCATATTATGGTCTCTCGTGAATATCTTTATAAGGAATAAAATAGAATTAAAAAGGGGTCTTTATTCTCTGTGTCATTTAATTTTGTTACCTCTGAGTGCTTATTTACAACAGAATTTAATTCTGAAGTACTGTTGGAAGCAAAAGCATTTGCAAGCTCATGATAAGGCTGTGACAGAGGTTTAATGAATCTACAGACCACTTGGGAGGCATATTTAGGTATTGTTTGGATCTGAAATATTTTAAAATTTACTGTAAAACAGATAAAATCCAACTACCAAAACTAACATATTTAAGACGACTTACCTTACCATGCAGTAGTAGAGACACTAATATGTACTTTTTATATGATTCTAACATAATATGTGAAACTGCCCTAGCAGGTGTGGTAATAGCTACTTCAAAAAAATATAAAGCACGTTCTAAGTTACGCACAGCCAAGTAGATCATGCCTCCATAGTGATAATACAAAAGAAAATATTTGGCGTCAAATTGCGCTCCGCCTTGAATTTGGGTATTTATCTAAAATTACAAAAAATAAAGAATAACAGTGAAAAAAAAAATAATAGCATTTAATTAATTACTTCTTGACAAATGCCAATGATATCAATATCCAGCAGTTCCAAGGCAGGTTTCAAACATTTTGCAAGCAAACACAGCTGACAAAGATCTGCATGAATTGAGGTAAGTTGCGAGTCAAATAGCTGTAACTTGGAAATGGCTTTTCGCAGTAACAATATTCCTTTCATTGGTTGTTTTTGTTCTACTAGATTTGATGTTACTAAATGGCATAGTTCTGCAACTGAAAATTCTACTAGTTAAAAAGTTATATCTTAATTTAACAGAAGTTTTAATGTTTGTAAGTTAAAAGGGTTTTGTAGTCTATATTGACTTAATCACGTCTAATTTAAATAAAAAAAATTAGCTTACATGTATCTGGTGCCAATCTTATTTGTTCTCCATTACAATTATTAATAAAATCCTTTGTTTGATTAAATCTAGCTTCTTGTATGTTTGTAGCATTAGGTATATTGTACTTTGCACATAATATGGCTAGAACTCCTAATGAATGTTGTTGAATATCCAATGTTTCGAGTACGTTATCAAGATGGGGATTGTTTTTTATTAATATTTCGCTAGCTTTACATAAATAATCGCATAGCTCCCTATAATTGCCTGGAAAATATAACCTCAATACAGACGTCTTCATTTTTTTGTCAATTACCTTGCGATGAGAGAGTTCGTACAGTATTTACAAATTGTTCTAATGCAGAAGCCATTTAATAAAACCCCAGTTAGTGAATTATTATAGTTATTTATATTGATACATAAATAATTACGTACTCGCAGACGGCTGCCTTTACGCTTCGCAACCGGTAACACATTCGTTACAATTTGAATGACAGATTTCATTTTGTTCCATTTCATGACCATAGAGATTAAAATTGATTTCAAAAAATCTGTGAATTGTCACCAAAGATAAGACATTTGGTGGTAGCATAGACGCAAACGTGTCCATGAATGCAAGTGGAGTCATAGATAAGACAACACCATATACCACATCCACTATAATATCTCTTATCTATGATGTAATTGTCTGTGGTTGGTATTATCTGTAGTTGGTATTGCGGTCATAGATGGTTATATCGGTTATATCAGTTGTGGTTATGTTTAGAGAAATGATGTAAAATGTGTGCAACATCACATAGTTTAAAAGAAATTTATTTAAATTAAACATATTCACGTTATAAATGAAGTTAAACATGGAAATGGAAGAAGATATTTTAGAACATTACCTAGTCGATTTAGAAAACTGCAAAGATATTGATGAATTACAAGAGTGCGATTTTCCTAAGAAACCCATTTGCAAGGAACTGATAATTTGTGCCGAATTTTGGTCTAAACTTATAGACTTGAATTTTGAAGATGGTCCTTTGAAAAATTACTTCGATGACTTAAGTGAAGATCATCGCAGGCAGTACTTTACCTTTGGTGTTGCTTGCATGATAAATTTTGTCCAAGCAAATTTTACTGGCCCAAAGCTACCTGGTTTCATGGAAGATTTCTTTGTAACTAGTATGTTTCGAGATATAGATTTTTCAAAAATGCTTGCACTAAACAATGAAGAAATAAATAATAACACAAAAATTCCTGCTCTTCTGGTAGCTGCCAAAGTTATATTTAAAAATTGTCACTTTAACACTTTATTGAATAACTGGTGGTCTTGGAGGACATTTTTAATTCACCAACAAATTTTAGAAGATCTTAGTCCATCTTTATTATATGAAACCGATAAGTTATACAAAGAACTTGAAAATGCTAACTTAAAAGGAAACATGAAAGCAAAATTAGAAATTGAGATTGCTCAGTTGTATATGGTATATAGAAATGTAAATAAAGTTAAAAACCACGTGGAAAATGCATGTAAAATCTTAGGACTGAAGTATGAATTGATTGGAAGATTAGGCAGGCGTACTAAATTTCAAGCGAAGGACATTGCTCAGCTTGCATTGGAAGTTACACTTATTGAAAAAGAAAATATTCAAAGACCTCCTGTTCGTGATATTGATGTTCCCAAAAATTTAGTTTTAGAAGACCAGGTGAGAAATCTTTTTGCATCAAGTTCAATTATGTAGTAATAAACAATGCTTTATAGGTTCGTTTTGATGCTCTAAAATATGCAGAAAACTTAAACCATAATACTCTCTTTCCGAATACAGAACAAAAACTTCTTCTTTGTGTAGCTCAGGAAATGATAATGTCTATGCCACCAGATGAACTCTATTTAGAAGAGCTGCAACCTTTTTATGAACTTATCTTAAGTCAAGCAAACACATGGTGTGTAAGAACAGTCACATTGTTGCTTCGATGCCTCTTGGAGTCTCATCATAAGCGTACCCGTGAACGATCACTGATGCAGTGTGAAGATGTTCTGAAAAGCATTGAAAAGGAAACGCCTCATCCATTTAATAGAATAGGAGGAGTGTTTAGTACTGGACTACGACCAGTTTGGAAGACTGAATTTGAATTAGGAACATTTATGCTTAAATTGGGACTTGTTAAGAATAGTTTGGACGTTTTTATTAAACTGGGCGCATGGGATGATGTTGTTGGTTGTTATATTTTACTAAAAATGAATCATAAGGCAGCAGAAATTATAAAGCAAGTGCTAGAAGTCAAACCTACAGTGAGATTATGGTGTCTTTTAGGTAAGCTTTAGTAAGTTATTTAATTTTTATCATATTAAGAAAATTTTTGAAGTATTAGAAATTACTTCACAATATGGGACAACCTTGATATTTTATAAATGCCCTCGATTAAATTTTAATAAACTTTCGAATGGTATGCAGTATTATTAGTAGACAGTGATCTAAATGATGCCCTAAATTGTAAGAAACGCATACTGCCTGAACAAAAGAATATTTCGGATATTGTACATAAAAGTAACATATAGTAATATAAATTATTATACTAAGTTTTCATCATTTAAGAAGTGGATATTGTTTGATGAGAGAAGCACAAAGTACATTTTTCAGATAACTTTTGCGAATTCTTGTCAGTTATATTTGCCTGTTTTACTAGGTGACGCTACTAATGATGTAAGTTGTTATGAAAAAGCCTGGGAACTATCTAAGAGACGCAGCAGTCGAGCGCAACGCCACTGGGGACAATACCTGTACACGCGTAAACAGTATCAACAGTGCATACCTCACTTTGAGAAGTCAGTCAGCATAAATCCACTACAAGCGTGGGTTTGGCTTTCGTTAGGTTTCGCTGCGTTAGAAACTGAAAACTGGCAGGTGGCTGCGACAGCCTATCGGCGTTATACGTCCCTTGAACCTGGTAATTTTGAGGCGTGGAATAATCTGGCAAAAGCTTATATAAAATTAGGAAACAAGCGAAGCGCTCATCAAGCTCTTCATGACGCTCTACGTTGTTATTTTGAAAATTGGAAAGTGTGGGACAATTTAATGATTGTCAGTGCAGACATCGGCCACTTTTCTGATGTCATTCAAGCGTACCATAGGATCTTAGATTATAAGGAGAAACATCTAGATGTCGAAGTCCTCAGTGCACTCGTTTATGGTGTCGTGAACAATGTAAATGACTCGGAGGGACGTCCTTCGGGACGACTGTTACCGAAAGTGCGCGAATTACTAGGACGCGTCACCGCCATTTATCCAAAAGAGGGACAACTGTGGGTTCTTTATGCAACAGTTGCGCCCGCCTTGACATTAAAAGCCCAACGTTTACAGAAAGCTTACAAGAATTTTACACAAACCGGGTGGGACAGGAATCAAGATATGTGTCAACAGGTGTTGTACACGTGCCAAAAATTAGCGGAAATTGCCCTTAACAAGGAAATAGTGGCCTCGGATCCTCTTGTTAACTCCATACGATTAAATTTAAGTTCCGCGATTGCTGTTATCTGTAAAAAAGAAGACAGCGACAATGAAATACAATCATTATTTGCGAATGTTTCTATTTTATTGGCCAAAGTTATGGAAAAGGCGAAATCTGCTTCCATAAAAATTGAAAATAAAGAAGGATAATATACGAGATAATGTTATTACTATATACTGTGGCTCTTGTATCAAGAATTGATGATCTTTTGTAGCTTTATACCGGTGAAATATTTTTGATACATTGGTCACATTTACCATTTAGAGTAAGGATTACCTCGAGAACAATTCCGTATGTGAAGTGTATATTAAAAAATTCGTACCGTTTTTATTGTGATTTAAGTACCTATTTGAGAAGATATCGATTGTTTCATATTTCAAATAAAGTTTTGTAAATAAAAGCGCACATGTTGTTTCTTCTTAAGCAGTAATTCGTAATTAATATGGAAAAACGTAAAAAATTGAAATAATTGGTTTTTCTCAGCCATTTCGTCGTTCTTCGCCAACTATTAACGATACCTTTAAGACGGGACAGTAACTGATCGTCCCAGTTAGTTTGCTAAAGATTCCATTACCAAAGAAAGGTTAATTGTATGGGAAAGAAAGCCTGTGATTACTTTTCGTTTCATCTGTTGGATGATCGGTATACTGAACGCGCCTATTTGATTCTGTGGTACGCTTCTTAAAACTGGTAATTGTTAAGACAAGTGTGTTTATTTTGTTATTAATCTATGGTGCTTATTGTGCTGATGTGTGTTGAGCGTTGTTTGTGTTTGTTCTTGGTTTGTAGCTGCTTTGAACAGTGTGTATACTTCATAATAATCTGCATGGGGTAATTTGTTATTAAAGTTTTTGCGTTTATTACATTGGTGCGCAAGCACAATACTTAAAATGGCTGCAAAATTGAATAATTTTGAACCTCCTTCGTCAGCCAGTTCAGAAAGGTAAATTATTTTCCAAAATGATTCATTCCAATTGTGTTTTCATTTTTTCTTTTATTACACACAAAAATTGATCACTATATTAATACTTTTATATTACATTAAACGGTTTTTAGAAAATTTTCATGACTTGCATTAAAAATTATTTGTTTTAAAAACATATATCTCATTCGTTTAATTTTAACCTATTAGTTTAACTGAACACGTTTTTTATATTGGTAAAATAAAATAATCTATTTTTTATTCGGTTATATGTTTGTGTAACAATTTTTTACCCTTGAATACTTCAATGCTATTGTAGTCATTGTACCTGTAAATATTTTTTTTTTAATTTTTCTTCATGAATGTTAATATGATGCAGGTGTTACCTTGGCATGCACTTTGTCTCTATAAACTGGTGATAATTTGATAATTTGGGATAGTAGCAAATTCAATGTAATATACATAATGTCTCAATATACTACTACAAAATTAACTTTTTATTTCTTTCTTTCATACAGTGATGCTGCAGAAACAGGTGCGGATTTTTCTGAAGTATTTCCTGATTTAGAAGGCGAAGAGGAACGAAGTGGCGATTTCTATAATACTCCAGCATCCCCCATTACTGTACCACATATAACAAGACCTCCATCAACTGGTATGTATGACATACTTTATATGCTAGTACAGCTTAATATAGGGAAAAAAAGTTTGGATTCATTTGCAGGATTTTTTTTTTTAAATTGTAATCTAATTTCATTAATTGATTTATACAAACGTATATTACCTTATACACATTTCATTTACTGTTCAAATTAGCTTTAACAATGAATCATTTATAATTTGAACTTTCTTAGGATCTCAAAAGTCTCCCAGATCACGTAGACAACGTACCACGTCAATTAATGCATCAACTAATAAGACAGTAACAGACTCACTTCTCAGGACACCTCATAGAACTATTTACACTGCTGGGCGTCCACCATGGTACAACACTGCAGGCCAAATGGTCGAACCATTTGTTATAGGTAAAATTATAGTTATTTTATTATTACATTTTTTAAAAAGAATGAAATATCTTTTAAGGTATTTGTGGTGGAAGTGCGTCGGGGAAAACCACAGTAGCAGAAAAAATAATAGCTGCCCTAGATATGCCATGGGTAACGTTACTTAGTATGGACTCTTTTTATAAAGTACTTAACGAAAAGCAGCATGAACTTGCTGATAAAAATGAATACAATTTTGATCATCCAGACGCTTTTGATTTTGACCTTCTTTTAAAAACCTTAGAAAGATTGAAGGTTGGGAAAAAAGTTGAAGTTCCTATTTACAATTTTATTACTCATGCTAGAGAAATGAGAACAGTGAGTTACTTATTTAATATTTTTTTTGTATTTATGTATTCATTTATTTGCTTTTGGATAATTTTTTATTAAACAATTTGTTGACTCACAACTAATAAGTGTTTATTAATACTTTAAGTAATAACCATTCAAGAGACCCTTAAATTAACAATAACAATATTAATACAACTTGCTTGCCCACATATATATTTCTATTTTATCCATCTACTTAGTTTTTTAAGCTTTCATAATCATTGCTTTCTCTTAGCCAAGTACTTTTTCCTTAGAGTTCCCTACAGATCTCGCTTTTCTTATTTTTTTTGTGTTAATTCATCATAAATTGCAAGCCCCTTTTTGAATATCGATTTTAGACTTTTTATATTGGTTTCCTTTTCTAAAAAAATAAAAACATTTTTCTTTTGTAGAAGACAATGTATGGTGCAAATGTTATAATATTCGAAGGCATATTGACTTTTTATAATCCAAAAGTATTGGATATATTGGACATGAAAATATTCGTAGATACGGATGCCGATATAAGACTGGCGCGTCGTCTCAGGAGGGATATTTCAATGAGGGGCCGAGACTTAGAAGGGGTTATTAAACAATATACAAACATGGTACAGCCGTCCTTTAATCATTACATTGCCCCTTTGATGATCCACGCCGATATAATAGTGCCCAGGGGTGGCGAGAATGAAGTTGCCTTGGAATTGATCGTTCAACATGTCCAAACACAGTTACAATTGGTAAATTCGAAAATTCGTGTATATTTCTATTTTGCAAAGTAAATTGCCAATTTTTGTTTCAGAGGGGGTTCAAATTAAGGGAAGAATTGGCTCATTCGTTTGTAGGACAACCCTTGCCTGACACTGTCCATTTGTTGCCCATGACTCCTCAGATAAGGGGTTTGCACACATTCATTCGGAATAAGGACACTTCCAGAGATGAGTTTATATTTTATAGCAAACGACTCATTCGTTTAGTAATAGAATATACATTGTCCCTAATGCCTTTCAAGGAAAAGTGCGTTGAAACGCCACAAGGGGTACTGTACCACGGTAAGAAGCATTTTAAAGTGGGGTTAATGAGATATATTAATGCATTTAATTTGTTTATTTTTTTAGGTAAACGAATGGCCACAGACAAAATTTGTGGTGTGTCGATATTACGAGCTGGTGAAACAATGGAACAGGCTGTATGTGACGTTTACAAAGATATTAGGATAGGAAAGATTTTAATCCAAACCAACTTTCATACAGGAGAACCAGAGGTACGTTTAAAACGGTTTAGCTATTTTTCTATCAACTAAACTATTTATATGAAATATTAAAGTAATCTAATGGAATGTAGATTCAATAACTGTACTGATCAAATTTAAGTATTTACTACTCAATAATTTTTTTCATAATGATATGACGATTATATTTTTTTCCTATAAATCTTTTCTATTCACTATTTTTTCATGTTGCAGCTATTTTATTTGCGTTTACCCAAAGATATAAAAGACTACAGAGTGATACTTATGGACGCGACGGTGGCAACCGGTGCAGCCGCAATGATGGCGATCAGGGTGTTACTAGATCACGATGTCCACGAAGAGAACATTCTCATTGTGTCACTGTTGATGGCTGAATCGGGGGTGCACAATATTGCCTACGCTTTCCCCAAGGTCAAGATCGTAACTAGTGCTATTGATCCAGAAATAAACGACAAATTCTACGTTCTTCCAGGCATTGGAAACTTCGGTGACAGATATTTTGGTACCGAACCGTCTACCGAACATTGTCAGTAGACAAAGAGCGTCGCTAAAGGTAACTTATTTTTTATGTATGTAAAGATATATATACGAGTACGTGTATGCATTTTTTTTGTATTAAGGGAGGTCCGAAACTTGCTCTAATTATATCGAGATTGTGGAGAACAGTCAGAAAATATGAATTTAAGTACTTATTGATTATTTGAAGGTGCTCTATTGTGTTCAGAAATGAAATTTTTTTGACAACCAAAGATTTGTTTCAAAATGATGGTTTATATTTAGAAAAGAAAATTTTACTTGCCGAATTTGACAAACAGAAGTGTGATATTTGTTTTTTTTTTCCATAAATAAAACTTCCTGAATCACTAACTATAAGTCTAAAGAAGACAAAAAATTATTGTTTTTTCATATAAATTAAATTAATCAGGGAGATGGGCATTTATATTAATGCATATTTTACTAATTGATTATAACATACATATTCTTAACAAATTTTTTTGTTTCTGAAAAACATTAAGATTAGCTGTTTATTAGTAGTAGCAGCCTCTTGATGAAAATTCTTAATAAATAAGTAGGAAAGCAATCTAAATACTTTCACTAAACTTTTTGTTTGTTTTGTTATACAACAAAAATCGTAACAATTGTTTTAGCTTCTTCAGGTAATCTTTCACTTAATCATTTATCTTTGTTTCGTTCGTTTCATTTATCTCTTCCCGACCATCATCCGCACGTTCCCATAATTCCTAAAAAGCAACTGAAGAGAACCTTCTACCCTATCCACACCGGCTTTGTACTAGAGGTACTCCTTCACTTTACTGTTGCTATTTTAGGATTTATCTGTATCACAAGAACTCAGTCTTACATAGTGAGTACTCACCATCGAATGAAGCCGAAGTTTGGCAAAACAATTGTTACGATTTTTATTTTGGAAAAGAATAAACAAAAAATTTCGTGAAAATCATTAAGCTGTTTTCTTGTTTCTGTTTGCGTTCAGTTTGGTTGGCCTAATCAATTATCTAAATCACATACATCCGGCTAAAAACCTACGTAAATATGTCGTGTTTGTTTGAATATGAATAGAAAATTATTTATAACGTTGTCTAATTGTCATTAATTTATGATTATTTACCATAATTATATAAAAGAGCACGATACTCCTTTAGATAACGCCGACCGTAAAAGCCTTAGCCGTTTCATATTTTTTTTTTTATTATTTTTTGGCCCGACTGTATAATTTGTTTTATACACATAATTGGAAATATTTTATTAGATATGGTTTTCTCTTTTTCTTATGCGTTTAATACAAATATTAGGAAACAAAGTATTGAACGACCAAAATTATTTGTGATAAAAAGTGTACCTAATTCAATCAAAATGTTTAAATTATATGTTAGGTGCTGCCAAATTTTCTATTAGTTAACTTTCAGAGTTTATTTATTTTTTGTTATTTATTTCTTACATACTCGTTTTTATTCATTACAAAGAAAGTATATTAGGAAACAATTTTGTTATGAAGATGACTGCCTCACGAAATATTTTTGTACACGTTCACCAAAATAAAACATAAAAGTTCTGAAGTAAAAAAGATTGAAGGGTTTCGTTACGTGAAATATTTTCATTAATTTATTCATTTGATGTTTAATTTTTCTGACATTTTTATAAGTATTCTTGATGATTGCTTACAATTTATGAACTAGTGTCAACTTTAGAAAAAACAAAATAAAATGAACTCAATACATTTCTTTTTCTGTCACCAGAAAATAGGTTTTGTATCTATCTCTTGCTGGATTCAGAAGTTTCTGAATTTTAAATTGCATTTATTCATTCTAATTTAGAATCTGGTAAAATAAATAAAAATAAAATGAAGACTTAACACATAGGTAATAGCAAAATCAAATTTCACAAAATAAGTAATTATAACGTTTTTTATTTGTAACAGATTGTCTTACTTCTAATTTTTACTTAATTAACATAAAAGTTCCTTTTATTTTTTTGTTCTAATTAATATGCATATGTAACACCTGGTGTAGGTGCATATGTTTTTTTATTGATGCTAGTCCAACAAGGAAACAGGAAATTGTGATATTAAAAAAAATTATGGGTTTAACTAACGCGCATATGGTTCCGTTCTTAATTTCCAAAACATGTGTATTTTCATGAATTCATTGCATTCAATATGATAATAACTACAAAGAAGGTACTCCATCGGCCGGAAAGTCCCCCTTGCAGTTGAGCATGATAGCACTCAGCCTTTTTTGTTGAAGTTACCATTGACAAGCGTATTAAAAATATACTAGTTCTTCCCCTCTATCAGTCACTGTGAGCTCGAAACTGTTAGCACCAATGCTTCGAGTGGTCGAAATTCACTTTTGTGAACAATACTATGACGTAGTGTCGGCCATCATTATTTTCTAATTGTTGCTGTTGTCGGCCATCATTCTTTTTCAATTGTTGTCTCATTGTTACTAATGTCGGCCATCATAATTTTTTAAAAGATGATCAAAATTTAAAGAAATTGTTTGTAAATATGTATGCAACACATCGTACACTTCAGCATAAGAAATTGTATTTGAACTTTCATTTGCGTGATACTACTTGCCCTATGCTGACAGCACTCAACATTTTTTATATGTAATATTTACAAAAATGTTCAATGAAATCTTTTTTTAAATGTATATTTGAAGTTCTTATGTCAACTAGAAGTGCCGTATGGGTTTTTTTGACATGTGATATCTGAAATTTTTGGCAATTACATAAAAATGATCCTAAAGGTTCCCTTTCTTTTTGTTTTTGAAGTGCGGAACCCTAAAAATATAAAAAGTAAATGTCAGAGGAATGATACTATAATTAATGGAATATTTATAACGTATATTGTGCTTGATTTTTATTCTCAATATTAAGTTATTTAGATTTAATTGATATAACAACATAGGTAATGTTGAGTTTCAGTATTATCTCCACTTGTTTACTTGATAATATAACTGTTATGTAATAAATCTGTTGAAAAGTTTAATTACTTCTATAAAACTTTATTTTTATGTTACCGTTTACGCAGCCCTCTAATCTCTCTTTTCGATCTCAAAAATATTCCTAGAAAATACATAAATCTACAGGAATTATTATTCTTCTATACAAAATTAAATTAATCATTTACAATATGTAATGTTCTCATTTTAAAATTACTTTAATGTTGTGTCAGTATATCTCGTGACTACCATCAAACAGTGCTCGTAATGCGAAGAAATCGGTTGTGGAAAACTATGAATTTCTTGCTTTTTTATTTGTTCTTCACAATCGTCCAGTGATATGTCAGAATTATCTATACGCGCCCCCCAACCTGAAGAAAAACTGAGGTAGCGCATCTGCAACAAAATAATGTTACAGGAGACCATTTAAAGATACATGATTTTCCAGTAAATAAAAAAATTTATGTATAATAACCTGAATACTTTTATTCAGCTGAGCGTCATTTACAAGTTTCACTGCAATTCTAAGTGATTTCGCGTAATTGTCAATAGCAGAAATATATCCTTCTATTAGATCTTTTGGGTCAAAAGGTGCATTGTGCGAAGGGAGATAAAATGTAAGACCCCCAGGAGCCATACCCCCATTTTCGACAACCGTGCGTAGTAAATAAATGCCACTCTTTATATCCAACAAATCCTTTTCCTTGACATCAACACTTCCTAGTAATCCATACCTACACAACACAAAAAAGAAAATCACATGAAGTTTTTAATATACTTTTTCATTTATAGTTAGGATCTCTCTCTGGATCTATTTTCAAACATACAGATTTTATATTTAAACAAAATAGTAATTAATGTTTAAATATAAGAGTATCCGATAATTATGATTTGATTAAACTCAACTTTTTATGAAACTTACAATTTTGCCATGTGAAATTCATGCCCCGGTTTTACGTTCATTTTGAAGTATTTGTCCAAGTTGAACTGTTTCAAAAAACTTGTACAACTGAAAAAATCTCTACAGTACTGTGTTATACCAGTCGTTTCACCTTCATCAGGAACTGTTTGCATTAACATTTGACCATTGTAGCCTATTTTTTCTTTCTGGTCGTAAATAGTTTTTATAAATTTCGCGAAATGTTTAATTTCCTTTGTTAAATCCGTGTTTAATAAACTTCCGTAATTTTCTTGAAATGGGGAAAGCATAAAACACTCCGATCCGAGTTTGTTTGCAATTTGCAATGCCTGTTTTACTTGATAACCAGCGTAAGTCACAATTGAAGCTTCAGAATTTGTAAAGGCCCCATTGACGTACCTTAAAGTGGAATAAGATACAGAAATATTTTGATTTTTGTCTTTCACGCACTTTATTAAAAGATGCAATCGTTTATTGAAAATCAGTATTTCGTACAAAATTATTTTTAGAAACTTCAGTATTTATCACGATTTTTTCGTACTTACCTTGAGTTATTTTTTAAATCTGCGCCAAACCAGAGAGGTTTAATGCCAGTTTTTTGTTGGTATTCCTGTACAAAATTAATAATTATCTCCAAATTATTTTGATTTTCATCAAAATTTTCCGATTCTGGAACCAAATCTCCATCGTATCCTGCCCAATACTTTACTCCTAAAATTTAACTTGTGTATTACCCTATTTTGATTTTAGTTTTATATCCTTAATTACCTAATTTTATGCAGAGTTCAAACATAGCCCTGATACCTTTCTTATAATTATCGAGCGTTTGAGAGTTGTCGTTCCACGGTTTTATACAACTGTAAAGGTTTGGTGTAAAGGCTTTTCCCAGAAAAATTGCTGGTCGCAGCCAATCTTCCATGGTACGTCCGTGAATACGTTCAGAGGCATTGTAGTAACGATAGAATAAACCATTTTCGGAGGAGAATGGCGTATCCGGTTTATATTCGATGCGATGAATCCCTTTTATTCAGAAATGCAAAAATTACGATTTTTAGAAAGATCATTTTTTCCAAATTAAAAACTGTGCGAAATAAAATTAATAAATAATTAATTAATACATATTACTGCAATCATTAATGACTTAAATAAATTAATATACTGTCTTACCTGGAAAAAATTCGAGAAATTCAGTTTTCACTTCTCTCCCGGTTTTCGGCCGTTTGATAGCTGGTTGTGGATACATTATCTAATTTGTATTAGAATGGCTTGGTTGTATTTTGAATTTATATATATTCTTTTTTGCCCTTCATGGAGAATTATCACATACATTTTCTTCAACTAGCATGAAATTTCACGCTTAGTGACTGTAAAAATTAAGACGTACAGTGTGTATTACATTTAGAGCAGTCTTTAGAATATGATTTTTATTTTGTTAGTCAAGTTAAATTAAGACTTGAAATAAAGAAAATATAAGTCAATTTAATTCTAACAACAGTGAATTCTAAAGTAAAACAATATCTTTTATATATAATTTAATACTTGAAGAAACAAGTCAGTGATTACATTGTTTTTAACAAAATATTAATTTCAAACTTTTAATAAATGGGTATAACAACTTAAATATTATAAAAATACCCAGATTATTCTTAAAAGCAAAGAAATTGCTACTATACCTACAGCTATAGGTAACTTAAAATTATATTCTTGTTGTTTTAACCCTGAAACACATCCCCTTTTAAGTGGCTTAACAAGTCCAGCAGATACCACTTTATCTAGCGGTTCCCCTGTCATAGAAAACTTAGAAGTTGCAATGATTTTTACTTTAACTATTTTACCCATAAATTTATCATTTAAAGGAATCAAAACTTGCTCGTAAAATTTATTATGACCGACGTAATGCTTTTTATCGTGCGATGTTTCTGTCACAAGCACCTCCTGCGTTTCCCCAATCTTGTGATCGTATGGCCGGTATGAGTGAAAGAGATCCGTGAGTTTTTTGGTTCGTTGTTTTACATCTTGAGCGGGAACTCTTTGAAATTTAGCGGCGGGCGTACCAGGTCTTGGAAAAAATTGGTTTATAAAAAGGCTAGGAAACTTATACTTTTCACACAGAGACAAGGTTTCATCAAAGTCTTTTTCTGTTTCAGTAGGAAATCCACAAATTATGTCTGTTGCTATTGTTATGCCGGGAACTCTGAAATAATAATAAATCTTACATTAAAATAATATTTAAGAATAGGAGGATATGAGATTAAGGTTTGATTGAGTTTCTAGTAAGATCAAAACTTAAGCACATACTTTTCTTTCAAATAATTGACAACATGCTCAAAATCTTCTCTACAATATTCTCGTTTCATATCAGCAAGAACCTGATCACTTCCTGATTGAACAGGAACGTGTAGGAAGGCATAAACTCGTGAATGGTTCATTATTTTTGAAATTTCCTCCAAGTGCTCTAAAATGTAAGGTGGATTCGTCATGCCCAATCGTAAACGACATCCTTCTGGGATTACTTCTACCAACTGCCATAATAGTTCTGGTAAACTTGTGCCTATATCACGTCCGTATGTTCCTTTAGGAAAACGTATATACTTTTCAAGTAAATTTTCTCTTACAGATTGTTTTCATTCCTTACCTGTATCTTCTGATGTTAACCATATTTCAACAACACCTTCACTAAAAGCTTGCTTTGCTCTAGTAACAATTTCCTCTGGAGGATAACTGCCCAGGTCTCCTCGTGCATGTTTTGTTTTACAATAAGTACACTGATTCAAACAGCCAGTGTTTATGGCTATAATTTCAATTAAAGGATTTCTTCTAATCTTTGGCAGTAGTAGAGATGCACCTCCCATTTTTTTGCCATTTTCTTTTTTGACTCCCGTCAATTTAACACTGTTACCTTTTAATGTTTCTTCAACGACTTCAACCACTCTGTCTATCTGTTGTACACCAATGATACTTAGACCTCGAACAAAATCTGCTTTGGGAGCACCTTGTGGAACACATCCTGCCACCACAACATATTTTCCCAAGCTTTTAGCAAGATTAATTTCGTTTCTAAAAAGTTTAAGGAATGTTTAACATATTTCAACAATTATGAACTTTAACATAACATGCCTGAAATGATCTTCTGCAGGATTCTTAACTGTACAACTGTTTAGTAACCACAAATTAGCTTTAAACTTATCTTCAACTATTTTATAGCCATAAGCTGCCAACTGACCTGCCATATACTCTGAATCTGAACTATTGTGGGCACAGCCCCAGGTTTTTAGATAAATTTTTTGTGTCCCAGGAATATCACCTACAGGCTCTTCTGTTAAATTGGGACATTTAATGCTTTCAATCTGTTAAGATTTACGTAATTTGCCTTATTTTATAATATTTGTAAATATGCGAAACACTATATCTACCTGCGTTTTTTTTGGTTTAATTTTAACAGTTTTCAACGGTTTAAATCGTTCTTTCGGTATTATATCTTGTGCTGAAATAAGATCTTCTATATCGTTTATTATTTCACTGCACACGCCTATCTCGTTCATTTTTCTAATAATATAGATTGTTTTAAAACATTCTAAAATAATAATAAGTTTTCATTTTACTAATTACAAGTGTGAAAAAAGATAGGTTACACTTCTGATATCGCAAAGTTGTCAAAGTCGACAAAATTGACAAATCTTGTTATTAAAGTACACCACAACGGATCGCTTCTTTAAAAAAATAATTGTCATAAGTAAATGTCTTTGTATTCGTACTTTTTGTTATATTATTAATTTGATTATAATGAAGAGTTATGATTTTATATTTGTAGCAAAGATAAACGTATTTTGAGATTTAGAAAGTATTTTAATGTATTTTCGGGTAATTTGACCACTATTGTAATCAAACCATAAATGTCATGTGTCACGAAAGATTATCTATGTGAAAGATGTTGAATTCTTTTAATTGTTATAAAAATAGCAATTTGTGAATTATTTTTTAGTTTTAAAGTGTTATTAAGCCGATACAAACTGATTAATAATATGGTAGTAGTTTATGTGTTTGAGAGAACTTGCCATGAATAAATCTTCAATCTGTTGCCAATTTGGGCAACAAAAGACGTCCTGAAAAATCATTGTTAAGGAGGCGAGCATATATTTTTTCTTAATATAGCAGAAAGTCGAATTTTCCGTTAGTTTGTTACGAGTTGTAGGCAATTTCGGAACTTCCGTGTATCAAATATTTTCTAAAAGGATTTGGTTGCCGTTTATAGCGCCACTACATTTTATTTCTGTCACAAAAATTCAAAAAGAAAATTTGATTTTCCATAAAAGCATATATTATAATATAAATAAGCGTTAGGAATTTTTATTTTATTTTAAATTACATCAACGTTAGTAGTACTAGTTAGTAAAAGATGACGAGTAAAAGTAGAAGAGAAGAGTTAATGCAGAACTACGCTCTCCCCAGTGGTGTGAATGTTTTTTTTTTTTAATAACCATAGTAATTATGCTTATATTTTGACTTTGATCAGAATCAGTAGTTAAGGGAAAAAGAGGATTAAACATTCAAAATTTCAACATAACATTTTGCTTAATAATAAACAGCACATTGTGTATCTATTATCTTTTTTTTTGCCTATCTAACATCAGCATTACGTGGTCACATTAAAATATTACTGTCTTATTATAATAGTGGTTGTTAATTAGTTTTTCTTGCCCATTTCTATAGATTAGTCGACATGGAGAAAAGCAACTGGAAATTAATTTGAGAACCACTGAAGCAACAAATTGTCTGCAATCTTTCTGGATTTTGCTTACCCATTACACTTGTAAACTTTAGAATGTTACTTTCTTCAATTAACAGAGGTGAGAACATATGATATAATTAATATTAATTCGTCTTTATTAATCTGTGAGCACCCTATCGGTTTCAGTTTTTGTAGTTTATTTTAAACAGCGAGTTGGTTGTAGTTTTTCTCTTATTTGTTTTATTTTTTATAAGAACGATTACTTTTAATTGCATATTCATCGGATGTATGATACATATCAATATGTTTAGGCAAATAGCCGCAATTTTGTGTGAAACAATGTTTTTTTATTTTTTTTATTCATGAAAATAATGTGTGTATGTGCTCTCATACTTATCATTTTCAGAGAAAGATGTGCAAAAATTTTGTAAAAAAGCATGTAAATAAATTATAGAGCTTTTGTACAACACTTATTCTGTTTTTTCTTTCCAAAATCTACCTACCCCTTTTAAAATTTTATTTAATAAGAAAATGATGATTTAAATATTTTCTGTTAAAACTTTCCAATTACCCCTGATATTTCAGTTAAAGAATTATAGGATATCCTTCGTATCTCACATACCTGAAGCGACATCTCACGACCGATAGTCAAATATTCTTAAATAAAGTTTACAGGTTTCCACTATATTACAGATTTACAAATAATCAATAAATTTCAGCTAAAGTACGATTTATATTCTTAAATATGGTTGGACCTTCATTAATAAAAACCTATAAAACCCATAAATAATCATATTTTCGTAAAACAAAAGCAAGCGAGATCTAATTTATATCATGGGTCTATTTTGTCCAAAAAAAACGAAAAAATTGTAATAAAATTTGGCAAAATTAAATTATAATATACTGGAAATGAACATAAACTATGATAGTAATAGTACAATTAAACGTTTCAAGACCGAACGATGTAGAAAAACGAAAAACAAGACTGCGATATGGTTGATCCCGCGCTAAAAATTGATACTTTGAAAAAGACCGTTTGCGACTTATGCTCTCCTAATACAAATGTTGGAATTTATGAAAATTTTCGGTTTTTAGCTAAATACGAGGGTTGGTCAGAAAGTAATTGAAAAATCAAAAATTTGGAAAAAGATCCAATGCAACTTATGCTCTCCTAATACAAATGTTGGAATTTATGAAAATTTTCGATTTTGAGCTAAATACGAGGGTTAGTCAGAAAGTAATGGAAAATTCAAAAATTTGGAAAAAGATCCAATGTAACTTATGCTGTCCTAATACAAATGGCCGAATTTATTAAAATTTTCGGTTTTGATACAGATACGAGGGTTGGTCAGAAAGTAATGGAAAAATCAAAAATCGTTTTTTCAAATTTGGTTGTTCCATAACTTTCTGACCTGCCCTCGTATATGACGCAAAACTGAAAATTTTGTTAAATCTGAAAAATTGTATTAGGAGAGCATAAGTCGCAAAAGGTCTTTTTCAAACTATCAATTTTTAGCGCGGGATCAACTATATAGCAGTCTTGTTTTTCGATTTCCGCGCTAAAAATTGGTACTTTGAAAAAGACCTATTGCGACTTATGCTCTCCTAATACAAATTTTCAGATTTAACAAAATTTTCAGTTTTGCGTCATATACGAGGGCCGGTCAAAAAGTTATGGAACAACCAAATTTCAAAAAACAATTTTTGATTTTTCCACTACTTTTTAATTAACCCTCGTATTTGGCTCAAAACCGAAATTTTTCATAAATTTCAACGTTTGTATTAGGAGAGCATAAGTTGCATTGGATCTTTTTCCAAGTTCAGAATTAAAACGCGGGATTAACTTCAGCTTTTTTCAAATTGTTCAGCTCCTAAGCATATGACGGCTCTGGTAATTTTCAAAAATTGACACAATTTCCTTTCTTTTTATAGTATTTATGCTATTTTACTCTACTGTTGTTCAAGACTAAGGACAAAATTAAAACCACATACTTTATTTATTTATTTATTTAAATAGTAAAGAATGATAATACAATGAAAATACATTTATTATTTACAAAAAATAATTTACATTTATTATAACAAAGTACAAATTTATTTCAAATAACAACAATACATCAATATAAACAAAATATCTAAGATATAATACATTCTAACGACTTATAAAAGTTAAAAATAAAATACCTGTAAGAGAGACAAGAAAATCAATAAAATTTCAAAGAAAATACAATTACTATGCATAAACTGTCATACCACTATTATTTAAATGCAAGATTAGGGAGAAAAAAGCCTCCCTAACCTTCTGTGGCCTCCGCATCTCCCCTTATAGCCACCCTATCCACCCAAACGAACATAAATTTTGAAAGCGTAAACAAATAATTCATTTAATTTAACAATTATACCAAAAAATTAATTTAGAAACATTTTAAATTTCTACCTAAGTTATGATTATAAAGATATAACAGTTTATGCAGTAAAAAACAAAATACCTGTAAGAGAAAGACAAGAAAACACATGAAATTTCAAAGAAAATACAATAAAAAGCAAACAATACGATGTCTTCAGTCTTCTTCGGTTACCTGAAAGCGAATAGTGCAATTACAAGGACTAACGACAAATACTAATAGCTTTGGTAGAGAAGATCGGACAGATTTCGCCAAGGCAAGCTGGGCAGTCGCCTATTGCTCCTATTCCAGATAACCCACTGTACCCTGTCTGAAAGGAAGTAACGCTAGAGTAGACTCGCGAAAAGTGTATAAGACACTTTTAAGATCAACTAAATAGCTAAGCCCAAGGGAAGTCGTTCGGGGAGGCCCTCCCTAATTCCACAAGGGTGAGAAGAAACACACACGATAACGAAACGTTGAATCATGTAGAACTCGTAGGGTAAATGCAAAGCAAATTAGGAAGAATATGCAGTAAGCTAAGCGAAGAGGTAAGCAACGTTAGACTATACTACAACTACTAAACGTGTTATTTCTACTACTACACTACTACTACATACAAAAAAAATAAAAACATCTACAATCAACAATTACTTCAAATAAAGTGAACAAAAATAAGCATGCAAAATAAAAACTAATTCAAATTAACTACAAATAACTACAAAAAAACATGCAAAATAAAAAATTAATTTGAATAAAATCAACTTAATGAATTTTACTAGATGGAGCATGCAAGATAAAGAACTATTTCAACTACGGGGTCATCTTTGTCTTCTCCAGCGTCGATCTGAAACAGATACGGTAGTAATAGATTAATAAAGAGCAATTAAAATTAACTATTATCAAGTTTCTCACCTTAATTAACTGTAGACTGCAACCTCTCAATGTTCGCAGGTGTAAAAAGCAAACCAAATCCAGAATACCATGGCAGAAAGTCTGTTGTTCAAATAAGTTTCCAGTTGCTTCCACTCATTGATTGAAAATTAACTGCATACGTTGCGAGGTGAAGACAAAAATAGCAAATCAAGACCAAGTCCAGAATAGACAACACCCATGTAGATATTGGCCGTTTCAGTACAGCCAAACTGAACTCATTTGTTCGATAATCTGCAGGGATAGACAAAAAAATATATTAATTACACTATTAAGTAAGGAAAGAATTAAACACACCCAAAAATAAGCACCAAAAACCAAGTAAAATTGCTGAATCATAATAAAATGGCGACAAACGATATTGACACCATGACCATAGATCATGACATAAATATGGATAATTATAGATGCACGATAATACATCAATTTATACTCACAACCATTGACATATAATAATATAGAAGTATACGTCGATGATCTCAACAATAGATTTTTAAAAAAATGAAATACCGTAGATACACGTTAACCTCAATTTATACTGTACAAAAAATAATTGGTTATTATTGACACATAAAGAGCAACTAATATGACGTCATGCATTCTCACCTTAATTAACTGCAGGAAGTAGTATTTTAAAGTCTCCAAGTGTAATGGGCAAGCTAAATCCAAGAGGAAAACCACTGCAGACAACCTGTTGTTTCTAAAATAGCATAAATACTATAAAAAGAAAGGAAATTGTGTCAATTTTTGAAAATTACCAGAGCAACAATTTGAAAAAAAGCTGAAGTTAATCCCGCGCTTTAATTCTGAATTTTGAAAAAGACCCAATGCAACTTATGCTCTCCTAATACAAATGTTGAAATTTATGAAAATTTTCGGTTTTGAGCCAAATACGAGGGTTAATTAAAAAGTAATGGAAAAATCAAAAATTGTTTTTTGAAATTTGGTTGTTCCATAACTTTCTGACCTGCCCTCGTATATGACGTAAAACTGAAAATTTTGTTAAATCTGAAAATTTGTATTAGGAGAGCATAATTAGAGATATAATACCCTTTGTGTATCTATTATCTATGGATATAATATATCTCTTGATATTCTCTTATCTATGGTCGTCAATAAATGGTTATAGATAATAAATGGCCGCCAAACGAATTTTCATAGCCATTATATTATCTATGGTCATTATAGTAAGTTGTTTATAGTAGGTGTCTCCTCATGCTCCTCATCCTCCTCGGTAATTAATTTTTTTCTTATTGTTAGTTTATTTGGATTATGCTTACATACTTATAATATATGTGCTTAATATATGTAATATAGATCAAGTTTCGAGCACGTAAACTTAATTCTAAAATAGAATTTCAATTTATCAATTATGAATTAATTTTTTTACAATACTTTGGATGCAATTTAAGACTTTGAATTTTTGCAGAAAATGGTAGCTGCATGATATCAATACTAAATTAATGTCTTGGTTCCTGTTTTTACTACCATAGCTAATTATAATCTTTGAATCGAGTTCATAAAATTGAATTGGGATTTAAAGAGGGCAGCAATTTCATGATGAAAATAGGGCTCTTGGACCGACATGTCCAGTTCGTTAAGCATAGTTTTGCCTGCACGGTATATTTATTGAGTTATTTAGTAATTTCTAGAAAATTTGACGTTTGTAGTACCTCAAACATTTTAATATCTCGGCAATTATACTCGATAAAAAGAAACGCCTGTTCCAAAATTACCTTCAATCTTCTTCATTTCNTTATGTACCATTGGTTATTTATCAAAATAAACATCTCTTATGTTCAAAATTGAAAGATTTAATACTCCTTGTTCCTTAACTTCTTATGCTTTTACTGAAGTTAATATATATAGAAAATTTAAAGTAAATGCTCTATCTCTTTTATTATGTTAACTTTCACACTGCCAGAAAGAATCATGTTCTATATTAATTCTGTTGCTGTTTTATGTAATTTTTCAAATAATGTTTAAAACTTGACTATTGAAAGAGCATTACAAATATCTAAGACCTTGACATTTCTGGGATCTCATCTACTATTTTTAATTGATACAGTTACTTACCCATTTGTTATTATAAATCCTTCTTTTAATATTTCCTCTGTTCTCAACAGAAAAAAGGCACTTCCGTTTAGGACTTTAAGTACTGCTATTTCCTTGAGTAAAGGAAGGCTGATACAACCAATGCTCTGAAACCCATGGATCAAGTTTTTAAAAAACTGTGCTAAAAAAAACAGAAGAACAGATTAAATACGGCTAAGTGTACTACTAAATCAACATAGTATAATAAACAGCCGAAAATCAGTCAATTATTTAACTGCAAAAACAGCACTAATTGATTGATATACTGCAAGTACCATTTTTTGAAAAGAAATTACAAAATGTCTTAACTTACGTTTTATCATAAAAAGTCGTACAGATTCGATAAATTAAGCCAAATGTAATGAAATTAAATTTTAATTCCTTCTCAGGGTTAATGACCATAGATAAGGCCATGATGAGGCGAATATATGGAAAACGAGGAATCATAGATAATATCATCACAGATAAAAGATTTAAATGACTGTCTTCTGCGTGACTAGTATTGTACAGACTGCATTCTATAGGCTATACTTTTCCGCTATCATCTGCCAGGCTTGCTGCCATTTTTGATGTCATTTTCTCGTCTGATGTTGTTGGGTGAAGAGCGGACGTGCATAATTTGTTGGTTCTAGTAAATACATTAATTAGTATTTAATTATATCACAAGTACAGGTAATATAATTTATTTTAAAATGATTACGTCTATTGCTTTCATTATTTGATTAAGTTTCTGATTTCTTCATTGTGATGTTTGTTCCAAATATCCACGTTTATTTTCTAAATATGCATCCATCGCCGACTTTAAATTAATTTGATCCACTGGCAACATTATTTGTACAATAAATTTGTCTCAAAAATGATGAAATTTAGTAGTCTCGTTCGTATGATTTTAATGATTAGATGGAAATTCTGATGAGTGTTTTGCGATTAATATAATGTAAATAGTTGTAGTACACTTTAATGTTGTATACCTTTCTCAAGAGCAGCCCCATAAAGGGAAATTGTTTCGTTTCCACGCAGCTGTTGCCTACTGTGCCATTCATCTTCGAAAATTGTTGGATAGTTTCGAATAACCTCAACTTTAGATCGAGTATCATGTAAGTTTACTTCTGTATTTCTAAGTCACTGCCAATTTTTTTTATAATGATGATTTATTTGACAAGCATATGTCTGAAAATTGTTTTTGTTGATAATCTTTAAACTGAATAATTTTGTAAAAAAATGTTCTTGGATATTATTAATTTAATGGTTTCTAAGAATCCTTTGCTTTTAGATTTCAGGAGAAAGACAAGGATTAGTAGAACTAGAGTAGATTATCAACTACAGTCTAGGTAAGAAAACAGTTGTTAATTTTGTATAAATTTAAGAAGTATTGTAATTAAGTGATGATATTAATTACCGTCTGAACATAATGATTAAAATATATGGCTGCTTTTTCTTCTGATATAAGTATCTCTTTTAAATATATTACAGTGACTTATTATTTTCTTTTAATTTACAAATGTTTTATTTATAGGAAAGCATAAGTTGGACTGTTAAATCATCACATTGTGGCCCTAAAGCTTTATAATTTGTAAGTATCCATGTCACTGTTATATGATTTTTAAATTATTTACATAATGATGACTAAATAGTTATCCCTGTCTGAAATTAACATTTGTTGAAGATATGGTTTCTGAAGTGGTTTTTCTGTATTTTGTAAGCTAATATTGCTGTTTGCAATAATTAATTGGTTTCATTTTTGTTCCAGATGTTCACAAATTTACTAAGAAGGGACAGACTATTAAGGTAATAATTGAATGTATGTTTTTTTCTGTTAGCAATAATCTAGTGAATTTGTANAAAAAATTGGCAGTTATAGGGACTGCCGATAGAAGTGAAAACTTAGAACTTTTAGTATTAAAATTTGAAATTTCACAATGTTTGAATAAAAATTATCAACATCAATCTGGTTTTCACATCTATTGACACTCCGAGCAACAATTATTTCAATGTACTTGATTTTTAACATTGTTTGCATCATTGTCATCATTAATTTCAACAATACTGAGACTTTTGTACTTTCAATTATTTCATTGTGTTCTAAAAAAGATGCAATAGGCTTATGGTAACTAAAGTAAGAAATGAAAACGTTTGTTTGAAATTTATCCAAGTATCGCATAAAAACCGCATCGATCGTCGTAGCTGCACTGTAAACAAATATCTGAGGACTCTTTCATAAGATTTCATTTTACAGGGTCGTTTTAAAAACTTCGGATGTCATGGGTTACAGAGTATTGGTTGTATCAGCCCTCCTTTACTCAAGGAAATAGCAGTATCTAGAGTCCTNACTTATAAAAAAAAAACATCTTTTTATTTTAAAAGTTCATACAAAAAAAAATCGGCAGCACGTCCTATTAATTAAATAGTATTTCTGTGGGTGATCTAAACTTGTTGGTATATTACATAATAATAGTACTATCACAAATTCGAAAATGCTAACATTTACCGCTTATAAAACAAATCATGTAATTGCTATACAGTTAGGTTCGACATAGAGATGCAACAAACTACATGTTATATTTTATAATTTACACTATTTAATATAAGTAGCAAGAACGTGTATATTTTAACGTGAGTTTCTGCATTGTATATGATAAATTAAATCGTAACAAGTAATTATTATTAGCTGCATTAAATTCACAAAATGTTTGCAATAGCAGACAATATATCTGAAAAGGGCTCGATATTCGTACTAGATTTACGTGGTCTAAGATTGGTTCTCATTTGGTGAACCCAACGACCGACATTTCGCCTACTGTTGTAGTTACTTACAGTCTTAGCATAACTGTGTTGAAATATTTTACGCTCTCGCTACATTCCTTGAGGAGAACCAACCAGGGACCTTGGCTATGAAGACCGAATATCGAGCCTTATTTAGTATAATGTAAATCCCAAAATATACAAGGCAGCCAATGATAGGGTATTATACAATAGTCAATGTTTTTAATGATACTAACAATTAAAACAATACTTTTATGTATAGTTTTTGAATTAGTTACTTAGAATAATTTCCACAACCTTTTCATCCAGACTATTCCATGGACTAATCTTAAACATAAGCCGTGGTTACGGCGAATGTAAATGAAGCCAAATAGTAAACTATCATTACAACAGAGTGGCAAAATATCTTATAATTAGTTCTATCCACGGTTCTTTCTAAAAAAATATTCAGTGGTGGAGAGTTTAGGAAATAATTATGCAATAAAAATTTTCAACCACAATAAATATACTTTTTAGTGAAGTATATTTTGCATAAATTTACACGTCCCTTAAAGTGAATATAAAACTGTACTTCACTGTTTAAAATCCTACTATAGTTTCTACTATTATTAATATTAGTTTAATGCACCATAAGTGCAACCATTTTTAAATATGTACCTAACAGAACCGCAATTTGCCTTTCTTGCATTACAATGTTTTTATTTGCCACTCCAAGTATAATGTGTTGCCTACTGCATTGACATCAAATGGTTACGTATAATATATTCGCAGTGTAGTTTTCATCATGTGCGATTTTGTAACTGTTTTTAATCACATTCGAATGAAAACTGTTGACCACCTTGTATATACAAGTAAAAATCTCTAACTTTTGGCTTTTTAATGTATGGGAATAGCATATAATAAATTATGTAGATATGTTTTCGAAGGTTTTAAATAAAAAAAAAAAAAAATAGAATTATCGATATGCACAAAAATGTTCAATGTTTATGCTGCATCCAGTGCAAACGGTAATAACCTTTTCAAGTAGTGCACCATTATTTTCTTTTAATTTACAAATGTTTTATTTANAAAACGCGTCCAATTGTTCTCCAGATAAAACTGGAGAATGGAGTGTGTCTAAACCTATCATTTGCGCTAAAATAAATTATTAAAAATGGTATTAATTTAAGATTTCTTAAGATGGTCACCATAATTGGTACTTTTTTGTGTAACCAAATATAAGACAAATTAACGTACCAAATCTTTAATATTTATTTTCGTTTAAATAACGTTTTATTTTTCATTTTATGGATTAAAAATTTATCTAAAACGAAAATATTATTTTGTGTAAAATAATAGGAATATTTAACTTGAAATAAACCTATAAAATTATTTTATTAATACAAAATATTGTAGCTAATAATTCAGAAGGTGGAGGCAAATAGTTTGTGTGTCTCTTCTAAAACATTCAAAGTGCGATACAACCTTTTATGTAATATTGCAGGCTATCGATATATTAAAGCACACTAATATTTATCGACTTTCTTACTCTTTGTGTACGCTTTAAAATGAAATTTGTAAAAATTTGATTCGATTGTGGAGACATAAAAATTATCTGTATTTGCACTGTGTTGAATATCGTAAAAACTGATCACATTATAATCGAGAGACAACAACACGGGAGAGGGGGGCTCAAATTAGGGGGCTACAAAATACAGTAGTTAATTTTTGTGGGTTTTCGCCCCTAGCCCCCCTTTCGGTCATACATATTCCAATGGAGATTTTTTACCTTTACTTCTATGCTCTACAACTATCCTTTCCAGCAGTTTCTTCAATTCAGAAATTATCCAAACTGACGACGTAAGAGTTACTAAGAATATCATGTCTGTAACCAGAAAAAAAATAAGTTGGTTGTGATGTTATAGTAAAGAAATTTATGCGAGAAAAAATACCGAAAATTTTTACAAAAATTAAACCAATACAATTTGTTTTCAGAAAAAAAGGCAAGATCACTTAAAGGAGACTACCGAGATTGGCCTATAAAGAGGAAGTGAGCGAGAAATTGCACGAATGACAATAACAAGGTGCGCTCAGGGAATAAAAGCATTTGCATGATGAAAAACATGGATGCACTACATGTGGAACACTGAGATGCTACCGTAAAGTGGTTAATGTGAAAAAGTAAAACAAGTAACCGTCCCGTCCCCCAGGGTTGCTTTATGTTCCGTAAATGCTCAGAATCAACAGTGGTTTTAAAATCGTAATTTATCTATAGGTTCCCTTTGAACTTCAGTGCCTATTTTAACCATGTTCTCATCATGCTCATCTATAACTCGAATTGAGTCTATAATAATCAGTTTAAATAGTAGTGTATCTACAAGATACACCATAGATAGATCTCGGTAGGTTCCTTTATGTTAAGTTGTGGGACTTACCCCAATAAGTTAACGCTTCGGTTTGGAAAATCTTTTGTAAAGGAGGAGCGTAAACCACCAATAACTGGCCGATGACTGAGAGAGTAACAGCGATTAGGAACATTTTGTTGGTGAAAAATCCGACGGAAAAAATACTTTTCATGTGATGACGACAAGAGAGTGCGTTCCACATGTCGAAAAACACGAAACATGTGAATGTCATGGTTGTGTCTCTAGCCGTGATACCTTCTGAACTCATCTGAAAATAACCAAAACGTCCTTTTATTACTATTCAGAAATGGAACTATGTATATTAAAAAAAACAAAACAAAAAAGGCGTAGCCGGATAAAAAACGGCAAACTCCCCTAATGTTGAAAGGCCCTTGTTTTGTGCAGGTTATCACTAGTGGTACTTTTTCTCTTCTAAACATTAAAAACATTATTTTATGAATAAAAAAGAAGATTTAGGTATTTTATTTTACTTTTTGTATTTAAATAATTTAATCCCTTATTTACCTCTTTCCTGAATATCCACAGGGTTCCTCCAATTATAACAAAAGCAGAAAGAAGAACGTTAACGATAAGGTCTCTCGTAATAATGGGTTCTTTAGCGTTACGAGGTTTCTGTTTAACAACGTCTTTCGAAACGGGTTCTACACCCAAACTCTGCGCTGGTGGACCGTCCATTATAATATTGATCCACAATATCTAATAAAAAAATGTTTTAAAGAAGGCGGTCCTTTACAAACGCAAAATGTTTAATTTAAAAATACCTGCATTGCATTTAAAGGATTTGGAATTCCGATGAGAGTTGCCAAAGCGATAAGTGATAAAGCTGCTATAGAAGTGGATAATTGAAACCTAACGAAGTTTCGAATGTTGTAATAAATTCCCTTTCCTTCTTCAATGGCAGATCTGTAAAAGAAATGCAATGCAACAAAATTAAGAAAACAATAATAGTTCAATTACAAATCTTACATAATAGTATGAAAGTCGTCATCAACAAGAATCATGTCTGCAGCTTCTTTACAAACATCGGTGCCGTTTTTTCCCATGGCGATTCCAATGTCGGCCTTTTTCAAAGCAACTCCGTCATTCACCCCGTCTCCCGTCATGGCAACAATGTTACCTGTTCTCTGCAACGATTTAACAATAGCAAGTTTATGTTTGGGTGTCACCCTGTAGAATACGGTTGCATATGGAATGGCTGCATCCAACTCAACGTCTGAAAACGCGTCCAATTGTTCTCCAGATAAAACTGGAGAATGGAGTGTGTCTAAACCTATCATTTGCGCTAAAATAAATTATTAAAAATGGTATTAATTTAAGATTTCTTAAGATGGTCACCATAATTGGTACTTTTTTGTGTAACCAAATATAAGACAAATTAACGTACCAACAGCCACTGCAGTATCCATGGCGTCTCCTGTGACCATCTTGACTTGCACCCCAGACTGTATCAAAGTCGTGACCGATTCCCTCACATACGGCCTGGGAGGGTCACAAATCCCTGCTATACCATAATATACCAATTCTTGCAGGCTCGTTCCTTTTGCCATTGCTAAAACACGTAGCCCCTTCCTTCCCACCTCGTGAGCCTCTGCCATAAATTCTTGTTCTTTTTTACTAGTAAGAGGTTCTATGCTTCCTCTCCAGTAATACGACGTGCACTTAGGTAACACTTTCTCCATAGCGCCTTTGACAAAAAACACATCTTGTTTATCGTTGTCGTATTTTGAAACGCATTTGACCGCCATCAGCTTTTGTTCGGACGAGAAGGGATACTCTTGAAGGCGGATGTAACGATCACCAATGTTATACATTCCGTTCTTCATCGCGGCTGCCAGCAGGGCGCCCTCCGTCGGTTGTCCCATCAGATTTTCGTTTACGATTATTGCATTATTGCACANCCTTTGCTCTATGAAGTAATAATTAACAAAAAAGGCTCCTTGATTATAAAATAATCAATCTCAATCGATCAATCAAGCGAGGGACTGACGGGTTAGGGACTGACGATTCACTAGAAAACCTACAAATATTCTGTTCGGTTTTTATATATCACAATACCTAACGTCATTTAATGAACGGGGCTTACAAAACAATACTAAATCGTTGACAATTAAGAATAATTGCCTGCTATTTCATATAACATTTGCTTACAGTCACTGGAACAAGGCGTGCTAGCACATCTTACAAAATGGCCGACACAAGGCGAACGGCATTTGCAGATAACTTCATGTCTATACTTTAAAATTAACTGATTCCCATTCCCTCATTCACGATAAAAACCGCGTAATTCCTAAGCGGCTAGGGCCTGATGGTTAAAGTCGCGTACACAAATTTAACTTACATAAATGTAATGTTTTTTCGAAATATTGTTATTTTATTGGTGTTATTAGGTAAATAGTCATATTTTTAAATGTCTTGAATAAAATAAAAGTGTATAAAAGGAATGCTTTTTCAGATATTGGTGGACAAATAACAAAATTTTGGTAGGCGGACACGGCTAGGGCCTGATATTTGTGGTAGATAAAAAAGTTTTCCTAAGTATAATTTTAAATTATTTCAAACATTTTGAGGGCAATAAATAAAATACATATTAAAAATAAACAATTCACCTCTAAAAGTTTATAAATACTATCTCTGGCCCTATCAATATTATCACATTTGTGCATTAGTATTTGTCCGTGGTCGTTATAGCCCGCTCCGGTTACTTCCGCTATGTAACCGTCGGAGGTAACGAGCACGGTCACCGTCATCTCATTGCGCGTAATGGTGCCCGTTTTGTCCGAACAAATTATGTTCACACAACCCAACGTTTCGACCGTCGGCAGCTTCTTCACAATTGCGTTTCTTTTCGCCATACGCATTACTCCTAATGCCAAAGTTACCGTCACAACAATGGGTAAACCTGCAATCAAAATTAAAGTAAATCAGCATACATTGATGGGATATTAATAATCTTTATTAATCATAGGTTTATTAAAATGCATCAGATAATATGTCAAGAGATTTTGTTAACGTAAATCGATTCTACTAATTAATATTCAATTTCTGGTATGTTTACCAATTTTGTGTGTATAAATTAATTAAAAGATTAACAGAAATTTATCTAAAAAGAAAATATTACTTTATTAATTCTAATTTTTTTTTTAATTCCGCAATTATTTTAATGGAGAGTAATCGTTTAAGCGTTTCCAAGTGCAATATCGAAATTTTAATTACATTCACTAATTATAAATCAATATTTAAAATAAATTAGTAACTTAGTTGGATGTAACTAACCTTCAGGAATGGCAGCTACCGCTAAACTGACACCGATTGTGAACATTTCCAGAATATTCTTCCCTTGTATCCATCCAACCAGCATAATTAGACCGATTATGGCAAACGAGTAAATTGATAACTGAGCACCCAGTCTGTCCATCGATTTCTGGAGCGGTGTTTTAGGCGCTTCCTCTTCCAACATCATACGAAACACGTTGCCAAATTCGCTGTTTGGTCCAGTACTCACTACTATGCCCTAAGAGAAAAAATATACTGATTATCACTTTAATAACAATAGCACCTTTATATATTTGTATTTTGAATGAAATTTTTCATTGGGGATACTTATTAATAAAAAAAAAAACGTTTACATATTTAATTTTCACCAGCTACTAAAGGTGGTGATTCTACACTTTAGTGCAAAGAGCCGGAGAATAGGGAGGAAGGTATTTTAGCCTCCTTTTTGTTAGAATATCTAACTGAAAAATAAATAAGTCAGTTACCTTTCCAGAGCCACATCGCACAAGTGTACCCAAGAAAGCAATATTCGATTTTGAAGAGTGAGTGCCGTTGGGGTGAAGGACTGGAGCTGTTTCCTTTTGAGCGGGTTCTGTTTCTCCAGTGAAGCTACTTTCGTCGATTTGAAGATCGACAGCCTCGAACAAACGAAGATCGGCGGGAATACGGTCCCCAATGTTCAAAAGGACTATATCCCCCGGTACTAGTTCTCGGGCAAGGAACGTGTCTGGTGTTCCTTCTCTTAAACTTAAAAAAAAAAATAAAATAAAAATTGATTACAAAAGAAATGCTTATCTCAGCAAAATAATATGTAATATATATTTAATGCCATGCATAGGGCATATTTTTGGCAACAATTCAAAGTGTGATTGATTGCAGTTGCAATAAAATATTTCTTTGTTTTGTGAATGTAAACATTCTATCAGGGTAATGCTTCATAAAGTGCCTTATTTCCTACTAGAAATGAGTTGACTTATCGATTAAATAAATAACAAGTTGACTCTTTGCACAGGTTGATGTAGGAAGACAGTGAATAAGTCAATATTAAGCGAGTACATAGTCAGATAACGAGATTTTACAAACACTATTAAACAAACACAAAAAAATCAGAAGAAAGTGGAATCATAGTTAAACGTTACAAAATGAATTCTTTGACATGAAACAAAACATATTCACAATGACCATTTTGGCGAGTTAAAGACTATTAATTCTTTACCAATATTTTTACTCTACTTCGTTAATTACTAGTTCTCACTAGTATTACTGCTAATGTTCTGTTTAAATCCAAGTCACTTAAATGATTCAACTACATTTTTATTTCGTTTTGTATCGATATGAACACATTCTTACATTTAGGTCGTATATGCATAACGTTAAACAGAATGCATGAATAAAATAACATCCCTCCAGTTAATACGATGGGGGAAGTACCAACTACAAATATCGGGGATTTACAGCAAAATGGTAAAGGCGAAATAACGATTTTTAATTAATATTATGTCAATGGACATTCGTTTCGACAAGCAAAAGTCTAGCAATAATTACTATGCTGATCATCTTATGCGAATTTTTCGCTATTCAACAAGTTAAAAAACGCGCATCATTAAAAATAGTTCCTTATACGACCACTTGTTCAGTTAAAAGACAGATAATAAATGGCATATTAAATATACAAAAATTACTCACCAATGGCATGAAGGTGGCACCAACTTGGTTAATTCTTGTAGAGATTTTTCGGATCGATATTCCTGCACAAATGCAACGGTTACAACTATCACAATAGCTACTGTTATACTTATGGCATCGTCGAATTGTTTCATGCAAATGGACACAAAAGCTGATGCCAATAGAAGCAATATCAGGGGGTTCCTGAACTGTTCGAGGTATTTTTTCCATGGAGGATCTTCTTCTCTTACAGAAAATTCGTTATAACTGAAAAAAAAATATATATATATAACATATTTGAAAAACGATTTTGACTTTAATCTAGTTACAGAAGTGAAAAGAGAGAAATATCCATGCGACAGACTCCAAGGGTTCCGCAGTCTGAGATAGAAAAGGTTAAAAATACGAAAAAAATGAAGAGTGGCAAAACAAAAGGCGCTATATTAAGGAGAAAAAAACAGGATGGTAGGACACCTGTTCAGACATGAAGGATTAATGAGACATAGGTACTAGAAGCACAAACAGGCGTAAACAGGGGCAGAGGAAGATATGCTCCAGTTTTCGGAAAATGCAAAAAAATTGCTCATTCTTTGTCTTTGGACTGACAACCTTATCAGGATGACAATGGTAATTAAAAGAAACAACACAAGTCAGTATCTACGTTGCCTTTGTCGACATCACCCTTTAAATTTTATCAATAGAAAATTAATTGAGACACAATTTCAAACGACTAATTAAAAGTTTAATAAAACGTAAATTTTTAATAATGTCTTTTTATTATAGCTGCCTACTTATAGAACGCCTTAATCCATTCAATTACCAAACAAATGAAAAAGCCAGACACTTGATGATGTTATTGGTAATCAAAAATACAACAGTAATTAATACGAGAGGGGTTTAATTAAATTTGAAAACAGTACAAATCATACATTCATTGAAATATTAAATCAAATCATAAAAAAGTTTATGTTATCTTCATGAATGAACCTTTATGTTTTCATACTTTATGATAATAATAAAAACTGTAGTAATTTACAATCACCAACTTTATAACTGTATTTCATAATAAAATCGGTTCACGATCAGATGTTATTAATAAGTCCCTTATTTGAATGCTAATCACTACATATTATCAGTTATACAGTTCCATCTGGAGAGCACCAACTGTTTTTACTTTCTAAAAAGTTTAATAACGCAATACTTTTTATCCAATCCCTGCCCAAAGTGCCATACTTTTCCGGGAAGGAACATTGTATACGAGACTCGAGTGACATACTGTATATACAGTTAAATAATTCCAAATTCTTTTCTTTAATTAATAAATAAGGTACGGAGATAATACAAAATCTGAATTTACTAATCAGTTTACTTACAATTCACAAGTTGTAAATTCCAATGCAAAATATTAATTATTGATAAACGTAATCGATTGTGTAGAAGTACATAAAAATCGTAATTAAATCCACGCTCCAAATTAAGATAAATTAACATTATTACCGAACCACTTGACAAGTAATTTTGTGCAGAGATTTTTATTACTTTTCACCTATGTTTTTATGATAAATACCTACTTAATTATAAAAGTACAGTAACAATTCGAAATAAATGTGTAACCTTTGTTATCAAAATAAACAAAATAAATTATCAACTTTCAACACGTTACGTAACTGCTGCAATGTAAAAAATTTACGATTCAATTAATTAAGTTTTTTTTTTAATTTCCAATAATAATTTAATTTCAAATAAACTAATTCTTTCCCCCTATCAGTCACTGTGAGCTCGAAACTGTTAGCACAATTCCTTCGAGTAGTCCAAATTCATTTTTGTGACAATACTATGACGTAGTGTCGGCCATCATTCTTTTATAATTGTTGCTGTTGTCGGCCATCATTCTTTTTCAATTGTTGTCGCATTGTCACTGATGTCGGCCATTATGATTTTTAATAGATGTACAGGAATCATTGATTAAAATTTAAAGAAATTGTTTGTAAATATGTATGCAACACATCGTACACTTCAGCATAAGAAATTGCTGATACTAACTTTTATTATTTCAATATTTTCAATTCCAACATTTCTTAACTTATTGTAAATTAATCTTTGGGCAATTAGTGAATATTCTTGAAGATTTTGGATTAAGCAGTCTTTGTTAATGGAAAATCCACGTTCAAGAAGTGAGTTACCATGAAAAAATGTAAAAAATAATTTTGATGTATTTCTTCAATTCTTTAAAATCATCTGGCGAATTAAGTTTTTTATTACCAGAATTAAAATAATTTTCGATTTCGTCAATACAATACACAGTACGCTAGATGGGATCACAATCGCATTCGCGCCAACTTTTCAATCTATTTCGAAAAAACAAAAAATCTGGAAGTTGAATATTCTTAAATAAACATAATTAAAAAATTTTATTTTTTCCATGATTAGGGAGAAATCTGATTTTTTCAGTAAATTGGAAATTCCCTGGCATTTCTAGGTTTGTGTTTTCACGATTTATTGTTAGAGCGTAGGTTGTAGACTAACAATAAGACTAAATGAACATGACCAAAACCAAAAGCAATTTCATAATTTCTATATGATGTTAATGATAAACAAGAAACACTTACCCAGACAATTGCCTCCTGTGTGTGGCTTCCTGCCAACTAAGACCTTGTCTAACTTCAACCCTTAGCCGCGAAGCTACCTCTTCAGCACCTAAAGTACTTGCCTCGCTGGCACTTATCCACATTATGGGTTCATTTTCGCTTTCCTGCGGGGAAAAATGAACGTTTTAAATAAACGAAACAAACGAAAAACGAATAGGATTTAATACTGAGCTGGTAATAAAAATCAGCGTATGTCAACCACGGTACAATGAAAACAATAAACTGTAAACTAAGTTCACTCGGAAAAATAAAAGTGTTATCTTATTTACAAGTTGATTTTGCAACACACAAGGGACTTTTGTATTTCTCGTTAATTTGTGGGATTTTATAAAATAAAATCATTCAAATGCCGAGGATTCCTTACCTCATCATATTACTTATCGACTTTTTTCTATTGCGTAAAATTTTTCAAGTTATATTTCCTTTGACGCGTTAGGGAAAATGATGAGAGCGAATTTTTACGACGCGCGCCCACTAAATTAATATGATGAAGTTGGCCACGGGACATACAAAATTAACATGAAGTTAGCAACACTGCTATATCGTATAAATTCCGTATTGTAGCTTCTTGTAACTTACACGACAGTTGAATCATAATGAGATCAACTAATGGACGTAAATTAATTAATTTTCTTAATGTATAAATTGTCTATTTACTAATATCTATTTTTTTGAAGTTAAATTAATTGTGTAAAAATAATTTAACAATGCATAAATAAACTTTATTTCAATTATATTATGCTTTTTATTTTTGTATTACATGTTATTTTTGTATTGTTCGCCAACTATAACTTCTTACGTTCGTATATATGTACATACACACACACACACTTCTTTTAGAATCTGTTATACTATGGGGTATGATTAATAGTGCACATAATTTGTTGCTTCTTACATGAAGGTTTTTTTTTGATATACCTGGTAAAAAAAGTGTCCAAAAACCACAATTTTCACAGCCTTTATGATGTAATTAGTCTTTACTATTTTTTAAATACTGTGCAATTTTAAATAAGTGTGATTTATGACTGATCGATAGAATAATTAATGTTCAGTCACTTTAGTCAGTTTAGTATTTTAAGAGAATTTCAGGTTTTTGTAAATTTAGACGTCTAGGGACTGACACCTATAGCTATGGACTGATGAAAATTATGCTAATATACTGTAATATAAGATTTTTTAAGGCAATTAATGTTATAAAATAAGACTCCTACACAGGCATAGCTTCACTTTTATTAGGAACGTATTTTAGACAGTAAGATAAGGTAAAAAATAAAACAAACGTGGCCCTTTGCTCTATGAAGTAATAATTAACAAAAAAGGCTCCTTGATTATAAAATAATCGATATCAATCGATCAATCAAGCGAGGGACTGACGGGTTAGGGACTGACGATTCAGAAGAAAGTCTACGAATATTCTGTTCGGTTATATATACCACAATACCTAACGTCATTTAATGAACAGGGCTTACAAAACAATACTAAATCGTTGACAATTAAAAGCAATTGCCTACTATTTAATATAAAAATTGCTTACCGAGG